CCTTTGAATTTTTTTCCAGGGATCAACTGGGTTTCGAAAGTAGAGAAATTACATGGGTTTATAGAAATTTAAATTGAAATTTTTATCAAAATAATTAATGGAAACCGGATACGTGATACGTGATACGATATGCGGGCGTATATAAATAAAATAAAGATACAATTAAAAAGGATTCTTGGATTTTTTTTTAAATTTAAAAATCGTATTATTCCAGGTAGCCTTAAAGCCCGACTTATGTGCCTGTTACCAAAGTAACAAAATCCCTGGCATCCCGAAACATTCCGTAAGCAACAATTAACTTTCTCTCCTTGCCAAATAATCCCTTGCTTTCTACTCTGCTTCCTCTTTCGCTCAGACACCAGAGGCTCTTTAACCATTTGATAATTTAATTATTGCAGAATTTGATATGATTTGAATCCGGCTTATTGTCGGTTAAATCAGAGACAGAACAGATTGTGTGTTTGGAAGCCAAAAAGCAATTCCATCAGTGGCCGAAAGGACGTAAGCCGCTGAGCACTGGCTGAGTGCTTAGGGGGCATGCTACATTAGGCAAATATGTAAATAACTTTTAAGGAATTAAGCCCACGCACACGCAGACGAGACCCAAGGAGAGGGGGGGAGCAGGGCATAGACGTTTCTTGGGATCCTGTTCCTTTCCTGCTTATCAGCTGATGAACAAGGCCTACAATGCAATCACTTATACGCCATGTTGCACCACCGTTGGCCTGTGTCTGGGTCTGTTCCGACTACAAAATGGAACATGCAACAGGGGGAATGGCTAAACGGAAATGAATACGCCATGGCTCTGCACTGAGCGAAGATTCACAAGGCAGGAGATTAGTACGAGATCCTTTTGCTGACTGAACATGAACAGAGGCATGTTGCCCCCCTCTCGAGGAAGATTTCAGGGTGGAATAGGAGTCGAACCAGGGGCCCCCTTGAGGAATGGGATACCACTCAATATTCCTCTGTTTATAATATCTCTCCCTTATAATCTTTCATTTCTCTCAGTGTTTTCCAGGTGGAAAACATTAATTACACACACACATGTTTGCCCTGGGAGGCGCCAGAGGAACAGATGAGAGCAGGACTGGAGCAGACAGGTGTGGGGCAGGGCAGGGCAGGGCAGAGGACACCAGAACAGGAGCAGGACATGGCAGAACAGGAGCGGAACATAAGGCAGACCAGAAGGCAAACCGCAAACGCGTCATTACCAAACGGGTACTTCCCCCCTGTTTCACAGGCGGATTGCCAGCAGAGGAGGGATGCCAGAGTAAATAATGGGGGGGGGGGGGTGGGCATGCCACAGGGCAGTGAAAAAAGGGGAATTGGGAATCATTTCATTGCCTGCCACATGAACTGTGTGGGCCCCGACGTGGCGGCTCTTCACTGCATTTTATCTGCTCCAATTGCAGCGCAGTGGGAGGCAGACAGAGGGGGGGGGGGGGGGGGGGGGGGGGGGGAGACAGAGACACAGGCAGAGGCACCGGCACAGGCACAGCCAGAGCGAGAGCCCTGAGCATATTTACTGTTACTCCGGCATTCAATGCAAGTGGGAATTACAAAAGGAGGGCGTGGCATGGCGTGGCGTAGCGACGTTGCTGTTGTTTTTCCGTTTTGCTCCTGGAAGTGCCTGCCGCCTGGAAGGCGATTTTAAATATTCGCACCCGCATGGCCACAGAAAGGAATCCAGTGAGTGTGTGTGGGAGAAAGCAGAATGAAACGAAAGCTTATACGAAAACATCAGTAATATGCCCTCTTCGAATACCCCTTGCACAGAGAGGGTATGATGATTTTTAGCAGGTGTTTGGCACTTACATAGAATAAAGAGCGGTTCCTCAACTTGGATCTGTCTGTAAGCTGCAGATACGCTTTAGTCAGTGTTACATCGATCTAAGGAAAATAACTATACAAAAAAAACAAGGGATTTTATGGAAAACTTAACTTTTTCTCAGGATGAATGCTATTAAACTTTGCAGACTGCAGTTTCAGATGTTTATCGAGAGCTCTATGAAATTTGATCCAAATTGGGTGAATTTTTTCCATGGAAAATAAAGAAAATATGTAAACCCAATCTTATGACTGCTCGGGTGAGAGCGGAGATCTATGTACCAACCCATTAACAAGTGTTAATAATTGCACACAAAATTGTACCTCAGACCTCATTGTTAGATCATATACAAGGCTGTGGATTAAAGAATAAGTTTTGGTTCGAATTTGTCTATATCAAAGGGTATCAAACCCTTCGTGACCCAAAAGATGGCATATTTTTCCACCCCATCCTGTTGTGCAACGTCTGGTGATGCTCTTCTGCCGCCTCTTCTTCAATCATCCTCTTCTGCGCCTCCGCCTTTCTTCCACCATCATCAATTTTGCCTGCGATTTCCCTGCCCGTACCGCCCGCCCACCGCCTGCTCGCTCCTGTTTCAGTAAGAATGGTAAACAATAATAGCAGACAACAATGAAGGACGATGGCCCAGAGGAGGATTACAGGACACTCACACACGGAGGGAGAGCGACAGAGCAAGAGCGACAGAGGCAGAACGAGGAGAGAGGAGAGGGGGGAAAGAGAGGAAAAGCTAAAAGCTGAAGCATCGGACGAGTATGCGACTAAGTGTTTTGCAACGGAAATGCCGAGCTATCATGCAAAAAGCCACTGTCAGATTAACGAACCATGGCCAAAACAGACAGCAAGGTAGAGAGAGACAGAGAGAGAGACAGAGAGAGAGAGAGAGAGAAGAACGGAAGGCACAGAGAAGAGGACAACAACGTGGCTGTTGCCAGAAGGTAAATGGCATCAGGAGAGATCCGCCAGTCAGCGCACGTGACGCAGCGACAGTCCATGACCAAGTGCTGATTTTTTATCAGAGCCAAGAATGCGGCAGGGCCAGGGCGGTGGAGACACAAACAAAAATTGTTGGAACAAAATGCACGAAAACTGGCAAAAAGGTTATTGACATTGTTGTTGCTTTTCCGGCCAGCTGTCACTCTGTTTTTCTGTCATTGAGAGCCGACTTTTCGGATGGGGCAAATATTGGCTGAAAATCGAACAAACAAAACAAAAAAAAGAATGGGCATTAAAATCGATGCCAAATTACTTTAAAATTGCAACAAAATATCATTTGGCAGGTCGAAAAATCCAAATAATTCCATGTATGACACTTCAATGTCGCCATTTTGAGCGGATATTGAATCGAAACCCTAAATACGAGTATCTATAAGCATTTCGAGTATATCATGTATCCGAGTAGCCTTTTGCACTCGTCTATCCCCGAAAACCCTTCAAGAGCCAACACACACACACACATCACTCAGGCACAGACACAGACACAGCCCGAAACCGCTTGAAGAGTATTGCATACTTGGAGGCGCCTCCTTCAGAATATACTTGCAACAAAATGCTGCACAGAGAGTGGGGGCGCAAAACAAAAGCAAAGTCAAGCGTAACGTAACAGAAAACTGCGCAACTTGTGAAGAGGTGGAAATGCTTTTTAAGTATTAATTTGCGCAAACACTCGACGCAACAGAAAAGCAACAAAGAAAAAAAAACGAGAAATAAGAGAAAACAAAAAAATCACAAAAGAGGGCGAAAAAAACAAGTTAATAAAGCGGCACTGCAAGTGGCCACCCATCCCCACCCTCGCCCCCGCCTCGACCAAGCACAACCGCTTTTCTGCTGGCCGCCTGCTGGTCGGGTGGGACACTCTCCTCCTTTGGCCAATGCCTCACTAATTGTTCGGAACATGGCCCAAACACCTAGGACACCCGCAGGACACCTACGTTAAAAGGTTTCCCCCCCCCCCCCCCACGTACCCCTCTTGCCAGCCCTCCGCGAGCAGAACGCTCTTTTCCTCCTGCGTTTCATTGCATTTTCCACAGTCCTTCTGTCATCGTTTCTGCCAGTCCTTCGCTCATAGTTTGTCCCCCACACAATCCACCCTTCCCCCACACTCTTTGGGTGGCTCTCTCAAGTGCATTTTAGCTGTTTTGCGTTAATTGAAAACTTTTTTGCCAAGCAGATATTCAGTATTTTTCACAGCATGGCAAAAACAAACTGAATTGGAAAAGTTTTCTAGTTTTCCACACTACCAAAACGAAGAGGACAGAGAGAGAGGGAGAGAGAGAAAGTTGTCCTAAGTAGAAGTGCAACTCCAGAGTTTTGTAACGCTTTGCCGCTTTTCATTTGCTTAGACTTTCCCCTCAGCTTAAAGTCTGCACCCGAAAACCCAAGACCCCGCCCCCCCCCCCCTTAACGTCGTCTCGAGTTTGTTTGTGTTTCCTCTCAGAACTTGGTGGCCAATTAGTGGGCAGGAGGGGTATGGGGTGGAAACTATAGATGCGGCTTTAACTGGCGAAAGGCAGATGGTACGCCGGTACTTCTGGCTAAATCGGAAATCCACTTTAAGCTCTTTTCGGGGGTTGCTTTCGAGCGAAATTGTCAAAGAATGAGCTCAGGTCCAAGGTGTTTTTTTGTTTGGAGAAACACGAAATCCCTGATGGCCATTACGCAGCCCCAAAGACACCACAGGAAGTCCAGGAATTGATATAAACTCGCCTCAAGCTTGTAGAGTATAGGGAAAATATTTGTTTGCTTTGTTTCGGGGGAAATACCAAGAAGAATAGAGCACTCTGTATGGTCTAAAACCCCTTGGATTGGAATAGAGAGCCACTCTGGGCTTCAGCTTCGTGTATCTTAAGTTTTCTAGCAATCTGGAACAGCAAGTAATTCTTTTTGAATGGCACTGTCAAAGGAATCCATCCAAAATCGTGAGTCTTGTTGAAGTTTAAGCCTTCCTGGTCATGCCTTAAGCTCTCCTTGGAATTCCGATTGCCTTTACGCGTACATATATTCAAATTAGATAGATATTTCTATGGAATATAGTTGAGGGCAGCCTGGAGGTGCCTCTGCTAAAGTGTGGCCCTGGATTGCTTGGTCCCCTCAATTTTGTGTATTAAATGTTAATCTTAAATCTGAAATATTGATTGGATATGCTACTCACGATTTCCCTCTGCAGCTTGGCAATGTTGAAGTTGGCCTGGGCCAGCCGCACGCTCAGCGTGGCCACATCGCTCGTCAGCTGGGCCCGTTCGCTGGCGTTCCTGTCGACCAGCTTCAGCATCTTGTCCTCGAGACTCTGATTGACCTTCTGGACGCGCTTGTGCGACTCGTAGAGGCGATCGTACTTGTCCTGCCACGCTATCACGCTGTCCTCGAGCTCCACCTGGCGTTCCGTCTCGCGCAGGCACGCGGATTCCAGGGCGTAAAGCTGTGACTGTTTCTCGATTAATGCCTGTTGCAGTTGTTCAATTTCCTGCGCGGCTGTTGTGGGTGAGCCGGATAATGCCACTGCCGTGGCGGTGACGGTGACGGTGGCGGTGGCGGTGATGGGAGGCGTGGATGCCACCACCGATGATGCTGTGGATGCTTCTGCTGCTGCTGCTGCTGTTGCTGTTGCCGCTGTGGCAGCCTGCAGAGAAAGAGGCACACACAAAATGAAATTATGAGCAGAAAATATTTTGTAATTAATTTTACTTCCGTCCGACGAGTGGCTGGCGTTGAGTGGGGTTCTGTGTGGCACTTTTGTGTGGGTGCGTTCCACGCATATACCAGATGGTCGGACGGACGATGGACAGACGACTGGACGACTGGACGACTCGACGACGCAAAGTGTCACACAGTTTCGGCTCTGGCTCTGGCTGTGGCTGGGCTGCTGCAAAAACGCTACTGAAAGCACGCCCTGCCCGAGGGGAGCATCAGCATTGTACGTGTATTACAAGCGGATGGATCTCTTTCTGTCCCTCTCTCTCTCCTGCTCTTTCCTCCTGTGCTCTGCCATCCATCGGTTTTTCGTTTGGGGTTTTATTTTAAATAACATTTCAAAAAGCTTCGAGCTCTGGGAGCGTTGCGGCGAGCGGCGAGCGGCGAGCGGCGTGGAGCTCGGAGCATTTCATGTCATAAAAATGCACGTCATGCCCATAAATTTGTGGGCCCTAGCGGGGGAGTGGGCAGTGGGGGGAGAGGCAATACGTGTACTGTGTGTCCAACCCGTACACAGCAGCATCTGCCGGCAGATAAGACAATGCGTTCCGCCAGAGCGAAGCGTGCAATGCCCTAACATGTTCATTGGGAGATAGGCATGGATTGGAGAGCCACATGTAGAAGGGGCTGTGCCTGTTCGATACTCCCTGCAGTTGTCGGGGTAGCGTGCATTGGGATGGGATCTGGGGCTAGCTTTCTGTCAGCAACTGATAAGCGGCGGCTGTAAACGCTGTACACGCCGAAGAGACAGCCCAAGCAGAGCCATATGGAGCGCCAGAGAGAGAGATAGATCACCGAGGGGCCATATAGAGCGGCAGAGGGCGAGAGATTAGAGCCAAAGAGAGCTGGCATCGCAGAGAGGGAGAGCTTCAAAGTCATTCTTATCAATGCCCCAAAGCGAGACTAAAACTATTTTTGATGCTTCGAAACTACGCTAGATTTCATTAAAGTTCGAAGCAAACAAACAAATCTCTCATCCTGCCAAGGCTCGAAAGCCTTGTCATCCGATACGCAGCTCCAGCTGCAGCCTCAGGTCATCCATAATGGTCTGAGCTCCGGAGCTATCAATATCAATACTCATCCATCTCCGGGGTCCGGAGTCCGGAGTCCGGACACACCGGATCTGGCAGAACTTCCTTGGGAGCCAAGAATCCTTGCCACAGCCGCAGGCGGGACGGGACGGGACGTCTGGCGAGACGCAGATGTCGTGGCTCAAAATCAAAGTGCAAACTACATTCTCAAACAACTAATTGGATTAACTTGGCTAAAAAAGACGGGGGGACGGGGGACGGGGGACAGAGTGCAAGCCAGAATGTCGCCAGTGTGGAAACTTTATCTTTGGTTACTCCGTCAACTCCCAACCCCCAGCACCTCCCCCCCTCCTCCGCGCATCGCATATGAGCTTTCCTTTCGTCACATGCTCCCCCCCCCCCCCTCTCAGGCTGCTCCTCAAACCTAAAAACTGCAAAATGTACAGAAAATTTAATTAAAAAAGGATTTTCGGGCTGGAAAGTTACTTGGCTTCTTCGCTGACTTGGCCTCTTTCGAGGCGGCTCTTCCTTCTTTTCTTTTTTATTTTGCTGGGCTTTAACGGGTTCGTCTTTTCCACAAAGAAAATCATTTTTCTTCTCCCACGCACACAAACACACACACACACACACATATCTCTATCGCTCTCTCTTTCTGTCTGCTTTTCTTTGGCATTTTGTGCTAACGCATAAGAAAATTCAATTTATAGTTTGTTTGAGTGTAAGTGTGTGTGTGTGTGTGGGGGGGGGGGGGGGGAGGGGCGTGGCAAATTGCCAAAGACAGACAATGCTATTAATTAATTTAGAAACCATTTTCCGAGCGGAAGAAGGCGGCAACAATTAAAACGGAACCAGTTAAAGTGTCCATGGCAGAGGGGGGCGGGCGGGGGGTACGGGGGTCCGAGAGTCCTGCCGCTGGTGGTGTGGCCTTCCAAAAGTTTGCCCCCAGAGTTTATGTCTATGATATGTGGGAAAATGTTTGGGGGAAAACATGCTGTGCCATTTTTGGAAAGTTATGTATTTTCCCTGCTTTCCCCTCTGGCCCCTCCATCCCCTCTAGCCGTATGATTTGTTTTTGATTTTGGTTTTCGTTTCGGTTTTGGGTTATTAAAACCATTTTCGTGTGTGGCCTGCCTCATGTTTTATGTTTTATGTTTTTCCAACATTTTTTGTCATCGTTCATGTTTGTTGTTGTTTTTTTTGTTGTTGTTTTTTTTTTGTGCATGTTTTTCAAATAATTTATTAAATGCTTGCTGCCTTTTTCTGATCAAACACAAATGATTTAACATCCTGATGGATGGTGTGCACTTGTCGCTTTTTTTTTTTGTTGTTGTTGTTGTAGTTGTTGTTGTTGTTGTTGAATCTTTTTAATTGTTGTTATCAAAAGGGATTACGCCATAAATTGAATAATAAATGCAGCCGGTTGTCGTTTTTTTTTTTGTATTACAATCATTTGATAAAAGAGTAAATATCAGCGATGTGGTGGGGCCTGCTTTATTTATGGGACTATTGTAGAAAGTCCTTAGCTTAAAACCGGTCAAAATGGGTATTTTTAACCACAAATTTCAAATCGCTATTTCTATATAATTTCATATGATTTTTACCCACTTTATCTCTGAAAACCCAACCTATATATTTGAGTCTATTCATATTTTAACTAAAGACATCCTTTAAAAAACCCTAAGATCTATACTTTTCTTTATCAAAGTTTTTTAATTCATTTTTCTCTATACCTTTTTATAACGAAACAGACTCATATTAAAAAAAAAATTTTCAGTTTTTATATAAAAAAATAAATATTCGAATTTAATAGAATTCACTTTGAACTAAATATAAAATAAAATATATTCCAAAATTATTCAATTTTTTTTTTAATTTTTAAATAAGACACTTTAAAATAAATAAAATTTTTTAAATTTTTTTGGAGTTTTGGGAATTTATTTGAAATATGAAATATATGCATTTCAAAGTTTTTTATATTTAGAAAATTATTTTTAATGCGTTCCATATTTAATCTAATTAGAAAACATTTTAAAATGAATATATTGTATGTATTGTATAAAAATATTAAATTGAATTTGTAGAAAATATTCTTTTAAAGTGTTTGATATTTAAAAAAAGTATTTTGAATACGTTCCATATTTAATTTAAGTACAAAACACTTTAAAATAAATACATTAGATTACATTTGTGGGAAATATATTTTTTTTAAATATAAAATATATTTACTTTAAATATCAAATATATTTAGATGAAATATTATCACCACAATGTCAATATGTAAGTGAAAGCACTTTATTTGAATATTAATATTTCCTTTACATTTTGTTGTCAATTATTATTTTGTAATTGAATTTATGTTTACATTTGCGGAGACCAGGGCTCCTTTACAAGAACTTGAACAAACTTTCAAAATATTAATTGAGTCATGAGGTGCTAAACTTGTCTTTTCCTTAGACACATCATCCTACATCCTTCAGCCTCCAGTTTTCCCCTGCCACATAACCAAATCGCTCCAAAATAACCTTAAACTCCCAACTTTAAACTTTTTTTTAGCAGGTTAAAGGACCTCAGCCCACGCACACATAACCACTTAAAGGAGCTGTTTTCTGTAGAGCTTTTGTTTTCCGTCAATGCCCTCTTCAAGCCTTTACAGCTGCTCATTTTTCTTGGTTAAAGAAAACTTCAGACTTCAGACTTCAGACTGGGGAAAACCCTGGCCAGTGCATGACTTTCCGAAACCGTTTTCTAATTGTCATCCTCTTCTTCGTCGTATTGGCGGAGAGACAGGAAAGTAATGAGTGGTGCTTGTGGGGCACAGAACGAGTGGGCGGAATGGAGTTGTCATTATTTATTATGTTGCTCAAGTCTTTCATTAGTACAGTGGCATTTTTCTGTCCTTCTTCATTTGTTGCCGAAACGGAGAAAATGAGCAGCGAAACGAGCAAGAATTCGGTTATCAACCTCATTGAGGATGTTGTCGCATTCCTTTTCCGCTTATTTACAGTTATTTGGCTGCTCATTTTGCACACCCTCCCGCCACACCCCCTGCAGGACCATCAAAGGATTAAAAACGCGAAGCGGAAGTGGCAGAGGCGGAGGCGGCGTCTGTGAGGCGCCATGAATATCAGTGTAATTCCCATCATTACGATGTATGGCGTTTTCGGAGACCTTTTCCTTGCCTTTCTGCCTGATTGACCTTGGCTCCCAGCTGGGCTCGGGTTCAGCCTCATTTCAGGGGATAATTACAGATCAGACTCCGCCTTCCGCCAGCCGCCCCCGCCCCCACCCCTGGACAACCCACAATCCCAGAATCCCAGTCCCAAGTGGTTTATTTTTTTTTTGTTGGTGTGTTTTTTCAGTAACCAAAAACCCGCGTAACTTTCTTCAATCGATAAGCAAATGCGGTAAACATCCATGGATATCCCTCGGCGAGTGCTTGTCGAGGGAAGACACTTCTGTAAACAATATTTTTTGTGGTGGTGCGGGGCATACGGCCAGTGATGAATGGGATGGAAGGTCAATTGGTGTGACCCCAGCAGCGGTGTGGTGGTGTGGTGGTGTGGCTCTGCCCTCCTGATTCTCCAAGGCATCGCTGACATTTAACGCACAACGACGCGAGCCTGTCAATGCCAATGTCCTGGATGGCGAGGAGCAAGGAGCACGGAGCACGGAGCTTTTGGGGGGCACAGTGACGGAATGTTTATGCGAATGCTTGGGCACAATAACATACGTGACGTGCCTCAGTCTGTGGCCCTATCCATGGCTCTGGCTCCTCCTATGTGTGCTCGTGGCCCCATCTAAGGTCCTGGCTCTTCCCTATTCATGTGTGCTGCTTAAGCGGCGGAAGCAACTGACAGCTGAAGGAATGGAAACAAGAGAGAGAGAGAGAGCCTGGGCTCTGGCGAAATCCCTCAGCTGGAAAAATGCCTTCAACTTCAGTTGCCGTGACAGTTGTCTCCTTCTCCTTCTCCGTCTCCTTCTCCGTCTCTGACTGCTACGTTACGTCAAACTTGTCCTCATATTTTTCACTCAACTAAAAGTTCTCGATGACTTTTCGCAATGCGATGACGGATGGTTGGGTGCGGGTCTGGGTCTGGGTCTGGGTGTAATAAGGATAATGGTTGAAAGCTGGATAAATATCTATAGCATTCGATGTGAGAGAAAGGCTCTTTTGTGCCAGTGTCCTGCCTGGGGTTTAATTACAAGTGTTGAAAGAAAAGAAATGTCCAGAATGGCCGGGAAAGGGACATTAAGTACTTCCTTCTGGCGGCTAAAGTTGCAATTAATTATTTGCTGCTAATTTGTGGCCTCAAGTGGATTAAATTAAAGCGTGATCGAATCAATTTTAATTAGGTTATTAGCTGCCCAAGGACAGAAGGCATATGTAAGGCATAATCCTTCAGCTTTTCAACTCGGGCCCGTCCCCTTGGGACCTTTAAAAGACAAATATTCCACAATAATCTCTGGCTAAACTTTAGTACCACTGTGCATTATCTTTATCCCCACAGCAGTGGTCCATCCCCCCCGACCCCCCTCTGCTGTGTGCTCCGTGCTCCGTGCTCCGTGCCTGTGCCTCTGTTTGGGTACATATTTTCCGAGTGACACATTATGTTAATACATTCTACAGTTTAATGCGGGCAAATATTGAGCTGCACACACACACACGCACACACACACACGCACATGTGGCATGTAACACAGATGAAATTTATGTATATTTTGATGACATTTTGAACGCATAGCGCACAAAATGTCAAATACATAAAAATGAAAAGCCAACCAAATGGAGAATGGAGAAATCATTTCCCACCAAAATACACGCACATTTCAGTACCCAATCGAACCCTTCCCTTGCACCCCTTCTGGGGGGGGAGGGGGGGGAGAAATATATATCGAATAACACGAAAGCGGAAATCGATGACGGCCATTTTGCTGTAAATTGAGGCATTTTTCCCGAAAGCTTTTGTAATTGTGCGACTGAAAAGATGAGGGATCTATAGGGAGGGACACG